TACATATATTATGAAGAGTGCCTGACCTATAGTAAACTTGATAGGAGGGTTTGCTGTTACCTATTACTAAAAATCTGTCTCTGAAAGCAGCACTAAACATCATCTTGCAAAAGTGTCAGATCCATACACTGAAAACTACAAAACATTACTAAGAAAAAGCAAAGAAGATGTTAAAAAAAAAAAAAAAAAAGGAGAGATATACCATGTTCGTGGATCAGAAGGCTCCATATTGTTAAAATGTCAATTCTGTAGATTCCATGTAATCCCAAAGGCATTTTCAGGGTTCTGCCCCCTTGCGGCAGCTCTGATGCATGGACTTGGCCAGGCTGAACTGTATTTGCCCGAATTCCCCTTAACAGTAGTCTTAGATAGAGGTGGACCACAAGAGAGTTCAGTTTGGCCAATTGAGTGGGACGCTGTGAAGAAGCAACCTTTTCTAACAGGAGCCCATGTTGAGGTGCTGACTTGACTCACCTCCTTAGTGTGAAACCACAGCTGTAAGAACCTCCCTCACATCCTCCTTGAGCTTCTCCCACCCTGGAGGGGGGTGTGTTTGCTAGCCCTGTGGCAGAGGAAGTGTTAAGAAAGAAAAAAACAAACACAAAATGGAGTTGGTTGCTCCCCGTGACATCAAGCCAAGACTCAATTGCAAGCTCAATCTATCCTAAGAATGTGACCTTTTAACAGTCAATCTGAAATTTTGTAATCAGCACTAGTGAGGTCATCTGCTTGATAAAAACCCTACTGGTCCCTTCTCCCCAAAAAGAGGATGTCCTGGCCTGAAACAACCCTTTCTTTTGTTTTGCTAACAACTTCCTTTCTCCACCCTCTACCTATGAAAACCTCCACTGGTACAATGCCTCAGAGTATCTCTACTTGCTAGGTGGGATGCTGCCCAATTCTTGAAGCATTTAATGAATCCAATTAGATCTTCAAATTTACTCAATTGAGGTTTGTTTTTAACAGGGCCCCACAAGACACCTAGACCACTAAAGTCAGGGGCAAGAACAAGGACATGGGTTTCTGCCCATCCTCACAAGGTCTAGAGCTCATCCTTTAGGCTCCAGTTTGTCCTTGCTCTCCCACACCCTACATCCGCCGTCCCATCACAAAGTGTTTGTCCCATGGACTTCATAAAGACAACACCTTATAGACACTGCTTAACCTGCCCCTACAATGGCATAGGGTCAGAGTCCCATAAGAAGTCCTTGTATGTTCCATATGATCCAGCAATCCCCCCTCTGGGTATATAGAGCAAGATAGCTCTGTAGAGAGCAAGATAGAGTCACTCATGTCAAGCAGTGACTCATGTCAAGTGGTGATGTAAGTAGCCAAGGGTGTTGCAGGTAAGACCAAATATCCCCGAAACCAGCACAGGCTGACAACCCCCAGCACTGATAACCAGCAGATCAAAGTGCAAAGGCTGATTAAACTCCAAAGGAGTTTTAAAAGGAACTGTAGCAAACTGTCCATCTCTCCAGATGCTGATCCTTTTATATCTGGCCTCATCAAAAAGGCAAATGTGGCCGAAGGTTCTGCCCAGTTGATCTCTGAACATAACACAGATCCTCCACTGTTTGACCATAATAAGCAGCAAGTGCCAAGAGCTGACCTTGACTGGATGGAGGCCTCGTCTCAACTGTGTGCCCCCAGACTGACTTCGAGTTTGGTTCATTAACTTCTTAACCCTTGTATCTTGTTTGTTGTGTGACCCTGTCTTGTGCTTTGCTTGGTGTGACATGTATAAAGCCAAGTCAAATGCATATGAAATGTCATTGAGTTTGGAATCCTGAACTTGCTTTACAATTACGTTAACCTTGCTTTATGGCTGACTAAAGCTGGCGTTGCGGGAAGACGACTCGTGTGTGCACCTGCCTAGTGTCCTTGTGACAAAATCCAAAGGAAACGAAATCAGTATTTTGAAGAGATATTTGCAACTCTATGTTCATTGCAGCATTATTCACAATAGCCAGGATGTGGAAACAACTTACATGTCCAACTGACTGATGAGTAGAGAAAGAAGATGTGGGAGATTATATATATATGAAAAAAAAATATATGAAAAATATATGTATATATATGAAAAAGGAATAACAAAAACATTAAAATCAAAACCTAGTACTTTGAAAAAAACAAGAGAGAAAGCAAAAATAAACTAAATTATGAGTAAAAAATGGGGTCATTTTTTTTTTTTAAAGATTTTGAAGTAATCGCTATACTCAATATGGAGCTCAAATTCATGACCCTGAGATCAAGAGTCACATGTTCCACCGATTGAGTCAGCCAGGTGCCCCTGGGGTTGTCTTTTGTAGAAGTGTAGAAAGTCAGAAGAGAATACTATGAACACACACCAATCACTTTGAAAATGAGATGGAATGGACAACCTTCCAGAAAAAATATGATAAAAATGATACCAAAAGAAATACAACCCATGGGTTAACTATAAGCCGTTAAAGAAATGCAATTTTTACTTAAAATGACCACATAAACAACCATATCAAATTACCAGCTCCAGAGGTTTTATGATAAGTTCAATCAACCGTGTAAGGATCATAATTGAACTTTCCTTGGAAACTGGAAAAAAGTTAAACTCCCCAACTGATTTTGGGCCGGTATAATAATCTTGATTTAAAACTAAATAAGAAGAGGGCACCTGGCTGGCTCAGTCAGTGGAGCATGTGACTCTTGGTCTTAGGGTTGTGGGTTCGAGCCCCATGTTGGGTGTAGAGATTACTTAAAAAAAAAAAACTGAATAAGAACATGAGTAAGGAAAATTATAGCCATATTTATTTATAAACATAGATACAAAAATCATAATTAAACTGTTAGCAAACAAATATTCAAGCCAAGAAAGATTTAGAGACTATAGGACTTCAACTATACTAAAAAAAAATTATTAAAAAAAAGATAAAGAACATGGAGGTTACAATTTTCTTTTTTTTTTCTTTTTTTTTTTTAAAGATTTTATTTATTTATTTGACAGAGAGAGACACAGAGAGAGAGGGAACACAAGCAGGGGGAGTGGGAGAGGGAGAAGCAGGCTTCCTGCTGAGCAGGGAGCCCAATGTGGGGCTCAAACCCAGGACCCCGGGATCATGACCTGAGCCAAAGGCAGACGCTTAACGACTGAGCCACCCAGGCGCCCTATAATTTTCTTTTCTTTTTAAAGATTTTATTTATTTTTATTGTGGGGAGGGGCAGAGAGAGAAGACTTCCTGGAGCCTGATGCAGAACTCGATCAGAGGACCCTGGGATCATGACCTGAGCTGAAGGCAGATGCTTAACCAATTGAGCCACCCAGGCGCCCTGGGACTTACAATTTTCTATTTCCTTCTTAGGAGAATTTCCCTTAAAATAGAAGGACAGAAGAGTCCACTTTATGACTGCTACTGTTCAACACTGTGCTATTGTCCAAGCCGGTGTCCCAGGAGCCACAATAAAGGACAAGAGCTGTGGGGATTGCAAAAGAACAGAAACTACTAGAAATAGTAAGCAAGTTCTCAGTGAGGCGGGTAGATCCAACTTCAATTTAGGAAAATTAATAGTGTTCCCAGATACTAGCAACAAACAAAAAGTACAAAGGTAAATGAAGGCTACAGTATCTCCCAAAAAGTTTACTAGAAGTGAACCTGACAAAATGTGCGAGACCTTTATGAAAAAGTGCAAGACTCACTGAAAACATAAAAAGAAGACCTATATAAACTGAGGTATATACCATGTTAATAGATAGAGACCTCAGTGCCACAAAATATCTATGCTTCCCAAAATTTCTCTCCCTCTCTTTTTCTTTCTCTCTAACAAAGGCAAGACAGTGCCCAAGGGGAACTACCTCCTTGACAGCATGGAAATGCCCCTGTCAATGCTGGGCCTTATAATAAAGGGTAAGGAAGCAGCCAAGGGAATTTGCACAGCCAAAGAGCCCAAGTTGGGGAGGCAACAGGAAGGACCCAGGGTCCATCACTCCTCTGTCAAGATTACTAACCCAGGGCAGAGGGTGAGGACTTCCCACAGTCTCCACCTGAGACACCAGCTTCAGGGACAGCTCTTCTAATTTGCATCACTATGAATCTACTTCTCAGCCAACATGTTTTTGCTTCTTTTATTCCCACCAGGAAATCCCCATCCCGCTAGGGGCAGCACTGGCCCAGCTACCAGCACTAACATTCTGGGCCTCCCGTGAGGTAGCAGGGAACACAGCCTCTGACCTCCGACCTCCAGAAAGGCAGCCACAGAGCCTGGAGATTCAGCTCCGGGTATAAGGCAACACTCACCCCTCATGCAGCAGTGTGACAGGGTCAGCCATCTTGTCCCTGAGTCAATGAAAGGAATCCTGTCAGCCACAACTGTTATGAGCTGAATGTTTGTGTTCCCCAAATTCATATGTTGAAGCCCTAAACCCCAGTGTGATGGTGTTTGGAAAGGGGGGCTTCTTTGGGGTGATTAGGTTTAGACGGTATCATGAGAGTGGGACCCCATGAGGGGATTAGCGTCCTAAGAAGAGGAAGAGAAACTAAAGCTGTCCCCTCCTTCTCCATCCTCCTCCTTCTCCATCTGTCCCTCTCCCCCTGGCTGTCAGATAAGGCTGAGGGGCCTTAGGCAGAGGACCCACCACAGAATTAGGAGCTCAAAGCACATCTGTGCCCTCACTGCTGTGGAATCAGGAGGAAACACCAGAGTCCTGACACGAGATCCACACTTCCTTTTCTCTTCCACTCATCCAGCAGACAGGTGTAGAGCAACACCTGGGTCCAGACTTGGGGGCACAGGGGTGATGAGGAAGAGGCTCACTCTGCTCCTCGCAGAGCCTGCCTCTCCCTGGAGCCAGCCTCCCGCCTGCCTCCGTCCTGCTCTCTTTAGCCAGGCTGTCCCAACCCCCTCTGGCATCCTACTTTCTCTTTCTCTGCAGTAACTCGGGTCCTGCTGCACCGAGGGCAGCTCTGCCCGCGTGGTTGGGGGTGGGGGTGCTCAGAGAAGGAGAGAAGGTGGGTCTGAGCCTAAGGAAGTGCAACCACCCGAGGGCCCTCCCACCCCTGAAGCCAAAGCAGGAAGGAGGTGGGGCCTCGGTGGAGGCGGCCTGGGAGGTCTCAGATCCCGCGGGGGGGCTTTCCTAAAGCAAAGCCGGTGAGAAGAATGGAGCCCTGGCGCCACCGCCCAAGGTACCCCTGCTCCTCTGTCCGCGCCACCCCCCCAACTGGGCCCCCTTCCGCGGCCCCTCTCTCCTGGTGGCCCTGCCCTTGTGTGCCTCTGTCCTTGGCCTCTTCCTCCTCCCTGTGGTCCTCCTTCCTTTCTCTTCCTCTCTGGGCTCCTTCTCTGCAGGACCCACTCCTGCCTGGGTCCTCACCCTATTCCGGGGATGCTCGCACTATTGCTTCTGAACACGCCCTTCCCGCACCTCCACCCAGCCCCTGGGTCCTCCAGGCCAACCTCTGGGTCTGAAAGTCTGTCGAGCCTGCCCCTCCCAGCCTGTGCCGGGTGATGCCACTCTCTGAGGCTTCTGGAAGTTTCTGTGCTCTCTTAGCGCTTAGAATTTAACTAAAGCATGAGCGAAGAAGTGGGTGGATTTAGTTTAAAGCACATTGATTGATTTTCTATAATTTTTACACCATTATAAACACGGTGTGAGGCTAGCTCTCGGAGGCAAGAAGAGAAGTCACCTATTGCAGGGCTCTCCCAATCTCGGGCAGACACGTAAATGCAGCCTGTTCTCAACCTTACCCCTAACCTTGGTGACCGAGCTTCAGGCTTCATGTTTGTACCACTGACCTGCAGCTGGGGGAAAGATGCCATGGTTGGGAGAAATGCACATATTTACAATGAAGTTGAGAAAAAGGCCCAGGCAGGACTGCAGGCTGCTGCCACTGCAGTCATGGGAGGTCCCTGCGGGAAATAGCCAGCCTGGGGAGCCGGGGCCCCATCACTCACTAGCCCTGGGCTTGCCCAGGCTGCTCTACCTCCTGCCCCCGATTCCTTCCCTCAACGGTGGGGTTGGCTCTCATGGGATCTGGGGAGGACTCTGTGAGTTCAGATATTTAAAGCACTTAGAATAGTAACCTGAACCTCTGAAGGTATGCATTAACCTGATACTTTTTTTTTTTTTTTAACGCATAGGTTAAAAAAATCAGGAACGAATTGAAGTGCAGTATTAGAAAAGCCGTTCTCTGGGGATGGAGGCTTCCTATTTCTCTTTGCAATTTTTCTAATGGGTTGGGGGATGAATGGGCAGGAAAACCAGCATGGCTGGAAGAAGCAGGCCCGCAGGGGCCCCTGCAGGAGAGGTCCCCCGTCCCTGCTGTCCCTAGCAGCACACCCCACCCCCCAACCGTCCAGCCTGGAAAAGCGGCAGACAATGCTCAGGGCCCTGGAGTGGGGGCAGGGCAGGGAGCCCCTGTGCCCAGGGGAGGCCACAGGCCAGGGACAACTCCAGAGAGTACTCTCCGCATTTTCGGTTTTCTGTCTTTTCGCCCCCAGAGACCCAATGGAGCGGATAAGTCCTAAAACCTTCTCCTTCCACTTCCAAAGTCTGCTCTACGCTTCCAGGCGGAACTTGTGCTACCTCTGCTTCCAAGTGGAAAGAGAGGGGGAGGGGCACCCCTCGTATGACTGGGGGGTCTTTCGAAACCAGGTAAGGCCTGTTTACAGGCAGGAGCTGAGTCAGTTGGGAAGGCAGAAAAGAATGGAATAAGATGCCAGGTGGGGGCTCTCCGTAGTGCACGCTCCTTCCCCAACATTGTCCTAAGTCTTTGGCCCAAGAGCTCCCTGCTTGGCCCTCCTGGAACCAGATACAGGATGCCGTTTGACGTAGCCTGTGGGCCTTGTTCAGAGAGTCCACCTGCATTCATCGCTGAGTCTTGTCATGGAGCTTGGCCTCTAGCAGGCTTTGATAAAAGAGCACGTCTAGAAAGTCAGGGCTGATTGGACACCAGAGCCTTTTCTGCCCTAGTAATGGTTCTGCCAGTCGAGTCCTCGGCCGTGGCCGCACCACTGACTCGTCCGGACCCAGGACCTGTGATCCCTCAGGAGAGAGCCCGCACCCCTCAAATGCCCGCCCCCGGCCTGCTCCCAGCCACAGCCCAGGTGTCCCTGGAAGGCTGCCATGGCACCCATGACCAGCTTCAGCGGTTGCTGGAGCCAGACCACCCTCCTGCAGCCCTGCCCCCTAACCACCTGCCACTCCTGAAAGATGTTCCACCACACCACACCCCTGCCATCTCCTCTCTCCTGACACTGCAGGCTTTTCAAAGCTTCTTTGCAGGAGAGAGCCGTTACGGGCTGGGTCAAGGGTACCCCAGTACTAACCCACAGAAACGTCATGGGAGTCACGTATGTCATTTAATGTTTTCTAGTACCCAGTGTTTAAAGAGTTAAGATAAACTGATGAACTTAGTATTGATAATGTATTGGGTAATATATCTAAGAGATTATTTCAAATTATAATTAATGTAAAAATTCTTCATGAGGTCATTTACATTCATCTTTTTTACTATGTCGTTGGAATGAGATGTGTATTTTACACTTGCCCCACTTCTTAATTCAGACAAGCCACATGTCAAGTGCTCTGGAGACAGGTGGGGCTAGTGGCTGTCCTGTGGGGCAGCATGGCTGTGTGGCCTTCCCCAGCAGACAGCACCCACGGAACCAGCCTGGACCCCAGAGAGCCTGGCCCGAGTCCAGTAGGATGCCTGCAGGATGGATGGATGGATAGGTGGATGGATGGACGGATGGACGGGTGGACGGATGGATGGATGGATGGATGGATGGATGGATGGATGGATGGATGGATAGGTGGATGGATGGATGGATGGATGGATGGATGGATGGATGGATGGACAGGTGGGTGGGTGGGTGGATGGATGGATGGATAAAAGGATGGATGGATGGATGGAGTTGATGTTGGAGTTGATGTTGATGACTGTGGGAAGGAATGGCTCAGTCAGAAGAGACAGTGTGGGGAGAGATGGAAAGGAGGGATAAATCAATGAACAACATACCTCTGTGACTCCTGCGCCCTCCCCCCTCCCCCCACGGCACCCAGCCCTGCCAAACTGCCTGCTCTGCCAGCCAAGAGTATCCCCTTCTCTTCTCCACCTCTCCCAGGTCTATCCCGAGGCTCCCTGCCACACAGAACTCTGCTTCCTCTCTTGGTTCTATGACCAGAATCTGTCCCCTGACGAGCATTACCATGTCACCTGGTTCTTATCCTGGAGCCCCTGCCCCACCTGTGCAGAGGAGGTGGTCAGATTCCTGAGGGAATACAGGAATGTGACGCTGAGCATCTCCACCGCCCGCCTCTACTACTTCTGGCTCCCAGATTATCAGGATGGGCTTCACAAGCTATGGTCTGCAGGAGTCCACCTGGACATCATGTCCTTTGAAGGTGAGAGCAGAAGGAGCTGGGGACAGGACTGTGGGAGGGAATAGGACTGGGGTGGGGGGGGCGGGGTTGGTGAAGGATCTAGACTATCCCTAGGGAGAGTGAGTGGGAAGAGATCCTGGGAAACTGAGGCAGGACTGGTGGCGCCTGGCAGGGAGGGTACGGGAGGGTCAGGAGAAGAAGGCGTCCCAGGGCCCATCTGACTGCCCTCTTCCCTCTTTATCTTAGATTATGAATACTGTTGGGACAACTTTGTGGACCACAGGGGGATGCGCTTCCAGAGTCGGAATCTATTAAAAGATAATGATTTGCTGGCCACAGAGCTTGAGAATATTCTTAGGTGAGGGCATCCTCAGCCTCCTGGCCTCTCCCTGCTGCTGCGCCCCCTCCTGGGCTCCAGCCACCTTCACCGCCCACCCCAGTCCCTCAGGCCCCCCCACTTTCCTCCTGCGCATCCTCCCTCCTTCCTCAAGACTTCCCTCTCCCCCATGAAGGGGCCCCCACCTGGTTCCTTCCATCTCACCACATTAACCAAATCTCGTTAATAAACTGAAGGTATATGGGCACGAATATGTCTAAGTGTGCAAACCAGAAGTGTGAGAAACATCCTTCCCGAGGATGTGACTTCTCAGAGAACCAGGGTCCTTGTACTGCTACTCCAGGATGCAGCGGTCTGTCCTCTGGGCTCGCTGCGGGGAGCCCCTGGTGTCCCTCTGCGTGTCCCGGTCTCCCCTTCTCATAACATCAGGCAGATTGGATTCGGGCCCCTCCTAAAGGGCCTCATTTTAACAGCCATCTTTTTAAAGTCTGTACCTAAAATATAGTCACATTCTGAGGCACTAGGGTTGAGACTTTAGCAGATGGATTTGGGGGGCACACGGTTCAGCCCAGACAATGACCCAGGGCCTTCTTGAGCTGAAGGCGCGGGGCAAAACCAGGATCCTTATTCTGCGTATCTGTCTCCTGGGTTATGCCTGAGCTGTCCCCACCCCCACCCCCACCCCCCCGCCCAACCTGCTTCCCTTCCAATCCTTGCTGCCCTGGACCCCTCCCCCCCACCGCCACCGCCTCCCACCCCGGTCACCATCACACCTGCCCTCACTCCCATGTCCCTTATCCCCTTCCCACATTGCTGCCAGAGGGGAAGCTCTGGGCAGGTTGCAGCCTGGAGATAGCAACGGAGAGTGAGTTTACATTTAAATATGTTTTGGGTTTTTTTTTTAATGTAGGATTGGTTATGGGAGCACTGAGATCATCAGAACTTTTCCAAAAAAGCAGAATCAAAAGTGGCAGGTGGCCAAGAATCAAGTCGGGGAGACAGGGAAGCGCGAGCCGTAGAGGTAAAACAGGGACCATCTGGTTCTTTGACCACAGAGCCGACGACCCCATGAACATACTGGGGGGAGGTCGGCGGCAGTGGTCCATGGGGTGGCCTGGACCAGGGCACGGTGAAAAGGAGCAAGAGGTCAGCCCTAGACGGTGGGATTCTAGGCAGGCAGAGGCAAAGGCAGAGGCAGGAGAAGCAAGAGGGCGGGTGTTCGGTTTGGAAGACATCCCTAAAATCATTGTGGAGAACGTGCCAGGTCCCATTCAGACCAGCTATTTCTCCCTCTGATCTTGGCTGGCTCGGTGTGAATTGTTGGTGGCCACAGACCCCTGGCCCTCCCCGCGGCTCCCTGTCTGTCCTGCTGCCTGGGGGCCAAGGGAAGAACGCAGAAGGGCTCGGGCTGCCCCCCGCCCAGTCTGCCCTGCTGCTCTCTCTGCCCTCGCAGCCTCACGCATGGAGGCACAGAGAGGCACGTGTGGACGGCACACCTCTCGACTGCCTGCGTCGTCGAAACGGGGCAAAGTGGCCTGCTCGAAATATCCCCTCCTTCTGGAGAAAAGAACCATGCAGAAGGCCAGTCTTAGAGATCCGTGGGGGCCTTCAGGACATTTCTCCTAAAACAGTCGCCATCCTGCTCTCGCACATCCCCGTTCTCTGCCCATCTCTGATGGCTAGCAAGAATTCAGCCTTCCTGCTTCTCTGGCCAGAGGCGTCTTAGCTGTCAATTTGGTCAACACCTGAGTACGCAGATCTGATCACTCTCTTGGAAGGGCCTGAGCCCAGGTTCTCATTCTGGAAACTTCTTCTTCAGGGGCCTCTGGATATGAGAATAGATGGGTGTGGAGGGGACGCCATTCCCTCAGATCCTCCAACTCTTGCCCGTGCTCTTGTTACCCCCTTGGGGCCATCCCAGGGCCTGTAGGGCAAAATGAGGTGTGTATGGCGGGGGCCACCAGCTGCGAGAAGTTCGGGGACTCGTATATGCATGCGGTCTGGACTGGGGATGGCAGGCGGCTGCTCTAAGACCTCCTCTGTAGAATTCAACTTTCCCCAGTTGCTCGTTGTTTTTCCATCCGGGGGTCTTGGTGGACATGTGACAAGGCAAGCGGATAGCTTTCAGGACGCACACTTCAAGTCCAGGTCCCTGATCCCTGATCTGGGAGGCCTTGTGGGGGCAGCAAGATCCCTCCTACTCATGGAACACTAAGGAAGTGGGAGGAGCCAGGTCGGTACCCCTGGAAGGCATTCCAGCTCTGCCATTGGTTTGCTGTGTGGCTCCAGAGAGTAGCTTAACCTCTCTGTGCTGGGACCTCATCGAAGGTGTCAGGATAATGATAGGCCCCTTCCAAAGCTACTGGGGGCTCTGGTAGAGGATGGAGTACAGGATCTGCTCAACACACCTGCCTTCTCCAGGGTTGGAGATGAAGATCTGACCTGTAGACCTCACTTTCCTGATGCCCAGAGCCCTGACAGGATATGAATGACTCCTAAGGGCAACACAGGGGTAATGAGGAAAGGGCTTACTCCACTCCTCGAGAGCCTGGCCCTCCCCAGAAGCCAGCCTCCATCCAGCTCTCTCCAGCCAAGCTCTCCCAACCCCCTCGGGCATATCCTACTTTCTCTTTCTCTTTGCAATAACTTGGTCCTGCTGCCCCACCCAGGGGCAGCTCTGCCCAGGGCGGGGCATCTCAGAGAAGGAGAGAAGGTGAGTCTGAGCCCAAGGAAGTGCAACCACCCGAGGGCCCTCCCACCCCTAAAGCCAAAGCAGGAAGGAGGTGGGGCATCCAGGGAGGCAGCCAGCAGCCCGGGGAGGTCACTCCAGATTGGGGCTTTCCCAAAGCAAGGCCAGCGAGAAGAATAGAGCCCTGGTGCCCCAGACAAAGGGCAGGGCTAGGACAAGCCAGCTGAGGAGAGGCAGCTGCATAGGAACTCCCAAGGTCAGGTAAGTCTGGAGGAAAGAAGGTGGGTGGGAGTCCACAGAAGCACAATCAAGCTAGGGCCTCCCACCCCAGCTTTTGTCTGGCAGGAAGAGGGTGGGTCCACCACTCAGACTACTGTGGGAGGACACTCACAGATACAGGGCTTTCCCAAGGCCAAGAGCAGCCTTGTGAGAGGGAAGTGGAGCTAGAGACCCAGGGCCCAGGCCAGGATGGGACGAGCCTGCCAAGGAGCGTGGGATGGGGCTGCAGGGACCAAGTACCACTGCTCGCTTGGCTCTCTGCCTCCTTCCTCCTCCCAGCCCCACTTCTCTCCCTCTCTGACACCTAATCATCCCATCCGCAGGGTCTGTTCCTGCCTCTGACCTGCAGGCCCGCCGGGGCAGGTGCCCATCCCCCCAACCCCCCACCCCAACCCCTGCTGCCTCCACATCCTGTCTCTGCCCCGTGGCCCTATCCCCTAGGCCCATCCCCTAGGCGTGGCCCCTGGGTCTTCCTAAAGCACTTTATTTAAGCTTAGTTGTAGACTTTAGTTATAGACTTTAGATTCAAGGATGATTGAGACAATTGTTGGAGTCAGCTATAAAAGCATATTTATACATTTTATTTTAAAGACTTGCACAATTTTGCAAAGAATGCTCTAATTTCTGTAACCGATCTGAGCAAGAGTTCATCTGCCTGATGCTCAGGAAGCCAATAAAGAACTGACACTGGGTTTCTGTGCTGAAGAGACAGGCTAGTTACTGGTGTGGTGCCACCCAGGAGAACTGGGAGCTGATGCTCAAAGGTCCTAAACTCCCCGATGGTTTGCAAGTAAGGGTGTTTAAGGGCAAAAATTCAGGGTTAGGGGTCCAGGCTCATGGGTTCTTCTGATTGATTGGGGATTAGGTAAACTTCAAGATTGATTAACTTGTCTTTCTGGTACCAGCCGGTCTGGTTTCATCCAGACTGTGGTCAGTGGTCCTACTGCTTCCCTGGTCCAGGTCTGAAGACCAGCTCAGCAGTGCACATCAGTGATGCTGCTTTGTTTGCAGAAGCCAAGCACCTCGTGGCTATGATGACCACATAGACAGTGTTCCCTGGGTAATGTTCATCATCTTAAGCAAAGCATCCTCTAAGTTCCCTCCGGCGTTTTCCTAGCAATCTTTAACTGCGGGCGGCTTTCTGCAGACTTAGTTCTGTGGATGGTTTCATTTCTGTTCTGTGGAGGGAAAAATCCTCTCCAAGACAAGAAGATACATTGCTGGGGCGCCTGGGTGGCTCAGATGGTTAAGCGTCTGCCTTCGGCTCAGGTCATGATCTCAGGGTCCTGGGATCGAGTCCCGCATCGGGCTCCCTGCTCAGTGCAGAGCCTGCTTCTCCCTCTCCCTCTGCTTGTGCTCTTCTGTCTATCTCTCTGTCAAATAAATAAATGAAATCTTAAAAAAAAAAAAAGATACATTGTTTCCCACAAAGACACTACCAAGTGTGAAAAATTAAATTAGTCTTTAAATGCTCCTTACGAGTTGTTTCTATCATCCCTCAATTTTAGCTATTCGAGGTCAAGCTTTAACATTTGTGCTACTAAGACCGTGCACTTGTCTAAGATTTGAAATAGTTCAGCCTTGAGTGTCTGGTTTACCAGGGACTGGGGAGTTTCCCAGGACGTGGGAACTTCAGTGCTAAAATTGGGAAGCCACGGGGCAGTTGGTTGTCCTAAGTGTGCTGTGAATGGATGTTTCTGTTCTAATCTTCATGCTGAGGGCAACCAGGGGCCCAGCAGCTTCGGGTGAGGTCACTGGCGGGTAATCCAAGGCCACCATCCAGAGATGGCTTTTTCAATGACAGTCATCAAAATGCACCTGAAGCTTTACTAATTAGCATAAGGGGTATCAGAGATGGGTTTCCATTGATGAAATTAGTGGCTTTGTTAATTAGCATAACAGATGACAGGAATGGTCTTTTGTTGATAGAATCCGTGGTGTTTCAACAAGTTGGCTGGAAATATGGGGAAAGTATTTCTGGCCTTGCAGGAACACGGTATCCCGTAGTCTGTGCCCTGAGGAATGACACCCTTGGCTTGATTCCCGTGTCCGGTTCCAAGCGTCTGTGGTCACCTGAGCCAGACTCAGTGGTCGGCCAGGTCACGTTAGCTTTGGGTGGAGTGTCCAGAAGGAGAGTGGGCTGGGGCGCCTGGGTGGCTCAGTCGTTAAGCGTCTGCCTTCAGCTCAGGTCATGATCCCAGGGTCCTGGGATCGAGTCCCACATCGGGCTCCCTCCTCAGGGGGAAGGCTGCTTCTCCCTCTCCCACTCCCGCTGCTTGTGTTCCTGCTCTCGCTATCTCTGTCTCTGTCAAATAAAAAAAAAAATCTTTAAAAAAAAAGAAGGAGAGTGGGCTGGGGCCCCATCAAGCTTTCTCAGCTCGTTCAGGCTGTTTGGCATCTGCTTGGTCAATAATGTCCACACGCAGTGGGGCTCTGCTGGTTAGAGCTCTCATGCACCTCTCTGGGGCAGGCAGGAGGGCTCCTAGTTCTGTCCACCTACTTGTATCTTTGCAGAGCTGGCAGCGTTTATCAAAAAGAATCCCATGCACGCATGCCCACATGAGCCAGGTCACTCTGTAACTGGAAAACAAGTAAGATACAAGATGGAATACTCTCTAGAGTATAATCACAACTGGGGGGAGGAAAAGCTATTTGACCTTTAGCCAAGGTCTCTGTCACAACGCTCCCTTGGTGACAACAGTTTTTCCTGTTCACCAGCCTCTCTGTGCTTTGTACAGACAGTTAAGATTGTGATGCCCACGCCTAAGCAAAGAGCAGAGAGTTAGAAGAATTACTAGTGCAGCCCCTCCATCCCCAAAGAGAAGGGTTGTGGCATGGGACATCAGGGTTGAGATGTCCGTGGGACCTGAACAGAGGGGTCTGGGGCACAGGACAAAGATGGGTGAGCCAAAAAGTTCTGATGTCAAGTTCTCAGGGTGGGGCCCCCCAGCCAGCCCAAGGAACCCCTCCTGCAATGACCTCCAGTGTGGGTATGGTGGGTGCTCCACCAGACCGGAGGTGGGGCTGTGTACAGGTGGGAGAGCTCACCCTCTTCCTTCCCCCTTCCCAGCCCTCCTGGACAACAAGGAAAGAGGAGAATGTCCCTTCCCCCCCCACCCCAGGGGCCCAAGTGGACCAAGGAGTTGGGTTCAGAAGGTGACAGAGCCTGGGGTAACACCAGAAGATGCTCTCTGCATCTTTGGTTTTCTTCCCCTTGCGCAGAACCACAATGAATCCACTACAACGAGAAATATTCTTCTATCAGTTCGGCAACCAACCCCGGGCCCCAAAGCCCTACCACCGGAGGACGACCTACTTGTGCTACCAGCTGAAGCCACATGAAGGCCCCATAATTGCCAGAGTCTGCCTTCAAAACAAGGTGCCAGGCGGGCTGTCTGGAGATAGGGCCGGGGGGGGGGAAGTACCAAGGCTTAACTGGGTCTGTTAGCCCTGCTTCCTGGGAACTCTCCATGGTTTTCCATGGTTTTCTCGTCCCTGGGCCTCTGCAGAAGCTCTTCCCTCCAGCAGAACGCTCTTCCGGCCCCTCTTTGAGAATATAATATTTATTTGTCCTCCGGATGTCACTTCAGTCGCTGCTTCTGAGAAGCCAAGTGGTCTTCCAAGGACTGAGCGCTCAACCCCACCTCCAAGAACTCCCTCATACACCTACCCTCTGCTTTTCTGCCCCCCCTTCCCACCTGCCCCATCCTGCCTCCCTCCCATTCTGACCTGCTCCTTGGGAACCCCACGTTCTAACATCTCCTGATGTCCAAAAGGCAAGGTCTGTCGAACATCTGGGAATGGTGCCATGGGGGTGTCTGTCTGCCAACCCGTCTCCTCCCAGGGGGTTGGGTCTGATTCAGATCAAGCTGCAGATGATTTGGGGTGCTGAATCAATGGATGAGTGGGAGAAGGAAGGAAGGTTCTTTCCCCATCTTACGCAAGTTCACAGGGCAGAGCCCCTTATCCCCAGTGGTGCCCTCAGTATGTGACCTTTCTTCTGTCTGGGACCCTCCCTAGAAGAAGCGCCATGCAGAAATTCGCTTTATTGACAATATCAAGGCACTACGACTGGACACATCCCAGAGATTCGAAATCACCTGCTATGTCACGTGGAGCCCCTGCCCCACCTGTGCGAAGGAACTGGTTGCGTTTGTCAGAGACCACCGCCACATCAGCCTGCGGCTCTTTGCCTCCCGCCTGTATTTCCACTGGCGCAGGGAGAATAAGAAGGGGCTGAAGCATCTGCACGCATCCAGGATCCCAGTGGCTGTCATGAGCTCCCTGGGTAGGGAGAGGGCAGAGCTGTCAGGGGATGGGAGGGTTTGCAGCTCCAAGAGAGAAAAGCCACTGGGGGAGGGGGGGTTCCTGGACCAAAAGGTGGTGGCCCAGCTGAGGCCCAAGCTGTGACACCACCAGGAAGGGCAAAGGAAGGAGGGGTCCTTGGAATTGCAGGGTGCACGCTTGTGGCTTTGCTGCCACTGGGGCCTGACTGCCTTCCCTCTTCATCTCAGAGTTTGAGGACTGCTGGAAGGAGTTTGTGGACAACCAGGGCAAGCCTTTCCAGCCCTGGAACAAGCTGGAACAGTACAGTGAAAGCATAACCCGTCGGCTCCGGAAGATCCTTGAGGTGAGAAGCTGTCCTGACGCAGGCGGCTGCCCCCCCTCCCCTGTGCCCCCTCATCCCAGCTCCAGCGCCCCCTTGTCTCTGTCCCTCCTCTCCTTGCTCTCTGTCCCCACTGTCCCCCTACACCTTTCTCTTTTCTCCCAACACCCTTCCCGTCACCCCAACAGGGGCTCCCAGTTCCTTCCTTGTCTCCCTTTTCTTAGGATCTTGTCTGTTTTCTGGTTCCCTCAAGACCTCCCTGGCCTTCTTTGACCCGGCTCTTCATGTCCCCTCTCCTTTGCTTGTTCCCCGCACCGTTGGCTGCCAATAACACTTCTAATTATTCTCTTTCTCTCTCAGCAGCCACAGAATGATTTAGAGAATGAATTCAGAAATTTGCAACTTCAATGACCATCAACCCCCTACCCCGTTCCTGGAGCATCTTGATGCTTCATAAACTGCTGACTTTTAGGAGCAACTTGTGAGTTCCACAGGCATACCTGAGCCTCCCCCGAGTCCAGAAAACCTTCCTTGCCTCCTTCATTCTTTTGTTTCTTTTTTTTTCTTAAATAAGTAGGTATATATTTTTATAACTGAAAAGATAAAAATAATTTTTAAGTCTGTAAAACTTGGGTTATTTTCTAAAAGGGAGATCAGGACTTTCCCTCATAAAAAATGAGTATAAAGGACTTTTTATCCTACTGCACCAAGAAAAAAATGTATTTGAGAATTCCCTCTAAAGTCTAGAATAGTTGGATCATTTTATCATCCCAATATTCTCTGTTCCTTCTGAGTATCTACTGTGTGTCCAAATAAATAAGATAAAACTGTTGAGTGCATGCAGTTGCTCACTGAATTGCTTGGGGGGATAAATAAAACCAGTTGGACAGTGTTATTCGGTGTTCTTCATTGAAGCAATAAGCACCAACTCCAGCCAATTAAAACAAGAAAAAAAATTTGTTAAAAAGATGTTGGGTGGCTCCTTGAAGCTCTAGGAAAGAGGGAGAGCTAGATTTGGAGGCTTCCAAGCCAGGAAGGAGCCCCCAAACTATGCTGCAGAGCTGGTCTGATGAAGGTGGCGCTGCCCATGGCAGCGTGCACCCCGCATATCAGCCACACTTGGAAGCTGGACGCTGACCTGGAGCCCCTGCCTTGGCTGCCTCTATTGCCAACACCCCCACCCAGAATGGAGAAAAGAGAATAAGAAAGGAGTGACAATAAATAATGAACACAGCAGGGGCACGGATGGCTCAGTCTGTTGAGCGTCAGACTCTTGATTTCCACTCAGGTCATGATCTCAGGGCCATGAGATCAAGCCCCGAGACAGGCTCTGCGCTGGGCGTGGAGCCTGATTAAAATTCTCTCTCTCTCCCTCTCCCTCTGCCCCTCCCCGCCACCCCCCACCCCACTCACGCATGCACACACTCTCTCTCAAAAAAAAAATGAACATGGTATAAGATGAAAAGAGTAAAATCAAGGGTATTACACTAAATATGAACAGAACAAATTCTTCCATGCTATTTCCAAGAAGCACTCTTAAAAAAAAAAACAAAGGAAACAGATTGAAAATAAAAGGGTTAAACAAAGATACCAGGCAAATCAAAATTTAAGGAGAAAGCGACAGTGAAACTATCACACAAGGTACACTTTAATGAATCAAACAGGTTAAAGAGGGACTTAGCATAATGGCACAAAGGAACAATGAAAGAATAAAATAATCATAAACTTGTATGTGCCAAACAACGTAGCAGCCAAATACATACATAAAGGGAAAATGACTGGAAACTAACTCAGGCCTGCCATGTAATCCTATTCGCCCCATTTGCCACTTTTTTAGTCTCTCTGGAAGCTAGGGGTGGCCAGTTAGGACTAATCAAATGTAAGAAAATATCTACTAGGAGAGCTCTCTGGTTTTGTTTTTGCCAGGCAAGTAGGGTCTCATCGCCCCGTCCCTCCCTTGTTTTTCCTGCCTGTGAGTGGGAGAGAACATGTTTTTCCTGCCTGTGAGTGGGAGAGAACATCTTTTGCAACCATAAGATGATGCACATGAGGACAAAGAGCCAACATGTTGAGGATGATGAAGCAAAAAGCTAGAAAAAGCATGAGTCTCCAATAACATTGTTAAGCCACTGAAATAATATCTACCCTAGAAATACCTACCTCCAATCTCCCTTTTAAATAAGATAATAAATATCTGCATCATTTAAGTCATTGTTAGTCAAATATTTTGTTATTTATAGCTGAATGAGCCCTAAGTGAAGTAATTTCAAACTCACATCTAGAGAACACAGCAAAAGCTATACTCAGAAGGACACCTGGCTGGCTCAGTTGGTAGACAGAACATGCAAGTCTTGATCTCAGGGTTATGAGCTCAAGCCCATGTTGGGACTAGAGTTTACCTATAAAAAAAAATTGACTAAGTGGCTTGACTTAAGGGCTGTTTAGAAAAAGTGGCTTTGGCGTGCATGGGTGGCTCAGTTGGTTAAGCATCTGACTTTTGGTTTCAGCTCATGTCATGGTCTCATGGGTTGTGGGATTGAGCCCTGCATCGGGCTCCATGCTCAGCAGGGAGTCTGCTTGAAGATTCTCTCCCTCTGCCCCTCCCCCACTCTCTCTTGCTCTCTAAAATAAATATATCTTTTTTAAAAAGTGGCTTTAAAATAAAAGCTATACTCAGAAAAAAAAAGAATAGACTGAGTTTTTTCATTACCAAAAAATATAGTAATTTACTACCCATTTTAAGAAATTAGAAAAAGCAATCACAGACCTGTACCACTGAAATAAATAATATATTATATGTTAATAAAAAAAAGAAATTAGAAAAAGCAATGAAAGAAACCAGAGATAGGAAATTAATAAAGATCAAAGGTGAAGTTAATTAGAATATTTTAAATGGTAGGAAGGACAAATAAATCCAAAAATCTGTTCCTTTAAAAGACCAAGGAAGTAGATAAATCCAGAAAGAACCCAAAAAAAGAATAAAGACAACAAAAATATACAAGATAAAGTATGAGGAAAGAAATATAACTCTGATATAAAAAAGACTAGAAAAATTATAAGAGAATATTTCATGTGAATTTATAGAAACAAATTTGAAAAACTTGAGGAAATGAATAATTTCCTGGCCAAAAAAATTTAACAAAACTGACCCAAGAAATCAAAGACTTCTATAGACCTATTCTCATGGAGGAAATTGGAAAGATAATTAAAGATCTACCACTAAAAAAAAAAAAAAAAGACAAAAAATTTAAAAAAAGGACCAGTTGTATTCAAAAGTCTTTTTATCACACTTCTAAAGAATATATAATTTCAGTGTTAATAAGAGATTACAAGTTATATCATCATTTATTCCACATTGTCTTAGAGTTCTAATGAGCGCAATAAGACAAAGAAATTCCATAATTAGTGTGAACATTGGAAAAAACATATACATTTTCTGTTGCAGATGATTTGACACCCTCCAAACCCAAGAGACTCCAGTTTGGAGGGGGGGAAAAAAGAGTAAATAAGACAGCTGAATACAGCATAAATACATAAAACCTTTTTCTCTAGATTAACAACAATCATCTAAAAATGGAAAAGGGGGAAAATATTACACTTAAGATAGCAATAAAAAGTATTAAATCTAATTCATACAAAAATCTAATTCATACAAAAAAATTCATACAACGAACGATCTGAGAAGGAAATTAAAAAAGCAATCCCATTTGGAGTGCCTGGTGGCACAGTCGGTTAAGCGTCCAACTCTTGATTTCGGCTCAGGTCGTGATTTCAGGGTCATGAGATGGAGCCCCACATCAGGCTCCTTGCTCAGCAGGGAATCTGCTTGAGATTCTCTCTCCCTCTTCCTCTTCTCCTCTCTCTCCCTCAAATAAATAAATAAATAACTAAGAAACAATCCCATGTGATCAAAAAGAAAAAAATACTTAGGACTAAACTTAACCAAGCAGGTATAAGGCCTATAAGTGGCCAATTACAAAACATTGCTGAACGAAATCAAGGACAATAATACCTAGAAAGATGTCTCATGTTCATGGCTTGGAAAATTTAATATTGTTAAAATGTCCACAGCACCCAAGGTGATCTACAAATTCAGTGAAATCCCCATCAAAATCTTAATATCCTTTTTTTGCAGAAACGGGAAAAACCATCCTAAAATTCGTATGAAATCTTAAGAGACCCCCAATTGCCATGCAAACTTAGAAAATACAGAAGTTTGGAGGAAGATGCCAAGTTTCCAAAATTAAAATCTGTATGACAATGGAAAACTTAACAGTCCCCAATGCCACAAATAAATATTGCAAATTAAAAAAAAACAAAAACAAAAAGAGAGAGAGAGAGAGACCAAGCCTAATGATGGAAGATTTCAGTTTAAATCTCCTTCGAGTGCGCCTCTCAGTAAGGAAATCTGTCTAGATGACTCAGATCCTGCACTCTCAACGGGCCTGAAATATTCTGTCCATTTGTCCTGTTATTTAAGATGTCTGGAGCGGTCAAAAGAATCCATCATACCAGACTTGTAATTGCCATCTAGGTTTTAAGGAACTGTAATTAATCACATTAATAATAATGTTTAAATGTTCAAGGAAATTGATTTCCAGAGTTCTATTACTTTCATAAATTGTTCAATGCACTAAGTACCAATACAGTTGAGTGCTGCCCTCCAGGCACAGAAACCTCCTGGATGTTAAAGATAAAAAATGTATTAGTTAAATTGAGACCACCCGAAAGTAACTGGGAGCCTCCAAAGCAGGGGCTGAAACTAGCCGGGAGCGGGGGGCCTCCGAGGATGGTCTGTTCACCTCCAAGCTCCTAGGTCTCCGTTCACTTCCTCTGCCATGTGAAGGCGCCCCCTGGGTTTGTGCAGAACGGCAGCCCCGGATGGACACTTACCTTAAACAGAAAAAATCCCCATATAAGCTGCAGAGCGAGGATGACCCAGGCTGCTTCCAGCTTTCCACTCTTGTTCTCGGGAAGTGTGGGGTCTCTGTCCTCGTGGCCCCAAAATGTAGTGCCGTCACAATGTCGGTATTCTGTCAGCCAGGATGGGGAAGTGGAGAAGAAAGGGGCAAAGGACCCAGCTGGCTGTCTCCTAGGAAAGGCCCCAGAAGCTGCCATTTGGCCTTTATCGTCACATCCCATTGACCAAGACTTAGTCATTTGGCCACGTCTGGCAGCAAAGGACTCTGGGAAATGTAACCTTTATGTGGGATGGTCATTTAACTTGGGGAAAGTCAGGGGTTATACACTGACCAAAAAAGAGAATACATAGAGTGGGACAATTAGTCTCTGCCACGTAAGTGAGAAAGTATCTAAAAATAAATGTGAAATGTGTGTGCGCTAAGTGGGATAGCATCCCCTCCGAAATGCGTGCCCTTTTCCAGAACCTCAGAATGTGATCTTATTTGGAAATAGGGTCGTTGCAGATGTAATTATTTTAAGATGAGGTCACACTGCAGTAGGGTGGGCTTTTAATCGAATACAACCCGTGTCCTTATGAGAAGAGGGGAGACCCAGACACAGACTTGCAGGGAGAAGGGCCTGGGAAGAGCGAAGGAGAGTTTGGACCTACAAGCCAGGGAATGCCAAGGATTGCCAGCAACACCGGAAAGGGAAAGGCACCACCTAGAGAAGAGACAAGAAAGATCCTCCCTTAGAGCCTTCAGGGAAAGCGCAGCCTGTGGACACCTTGATGTCAGACTTCTAGCCTCCAGAACCAGAAAATAAATTTTTGCTGCTTGAAGAAATTCAGTTTGTGGTACTTTGTCATGGCGCCCTGGAAATGAATACAATGTATATAGAAAGAGCGTTCTTATGAACTGATGATCCCCGATTTACAAGTATTTATGTGTGGTTAGTGGGGGGATTACTATTCTCAACTGTCACTCTCAACTGTCAAAC